TTGGAATGAGTCTATTGAGATATTATCCTGGTACAAGCTGGTTCGGATATGAACCGGACGTTACAGTCTAATTTTCTAACTCGGCGCTGAAAGCTCCGTGAAGGCTGCAACTTGGTATGCCCACGAGATATAAAATTAGATTCATGTATCATGTGCAGGTTGCATGGGATTCCGGTCTCACCGAAGCGCAAATACGATAATTACATTTACAGGTCGTTGGCAGACGTGTTGGGGGTGTATATATCGTCGTGTAGGACCTAATGAAGCATGGAATACGAAGCCTGGTACACTTTGGATCGATCGTCTTGGAAAAGACCTCCTAGAATATGGTTTGCATGCCCCCACTACTTGCTTGCATCCCGAGAGATGGCAGTTGCAATGATGGCCGAGCACTCCAACAGCGACGATAACACATTTCGGGCGGTTTCGTACCCTTAAACGTGGCAAAACGCCAATATTAGGCATTTTACCACATTTTAATAGACCTCGACCACGGCGGGCCGAGTGGCGTACTGCAAGACGCGGAAGGCGTGGCACGCGCTTGCGCAGACCCGCATTGGTGGGGGGAAGCGCGTAAGCCACTACTGTCCGTGGCGCAAGGACAAGGAAGTCGCGCTCCTCGACGCCGCCACGTGCATCCACATCGGCATCCACACGTCCGGCGCGTCTCGGGGCCGTCAAGTAGCCGTCCAGAGAAGCGCAGCGGGAATCGACGCGTGTACAAGCATTGGCGCAAAGCGCTTCAGCTGACGAAGATGTCGTTCGAAGCGTGGCAGACGGAGCCGCTTCTCCGAGGCGTTGCGTCGCCCCACGATCTGCCGCCGAGCGCCAAGGTCCAGCTGGACTGCAAGTACGGTGGTCACAAGCGCGACCGCAACTTGATCGCGAGAGTGGTCACGAAGCAGCGGCAGATTGACGATCTCAAGCTTGAAGTGCTGCAGCACGAGTCGCGGATCGAACTGCTGGCAGAGCACCTCAAAGCCAACTGGTACGACGGTATTTGCCTTCGCCAAGTCGATCTTGAAGCGATCGAACATGCCCGGGGTCACGCCGACGATGTCGACCAAGTACGTCTCGCTTCGCACCACGCGCAGATGCGCGAGGAGGACGCGAGCGCACATGAGAGCGTACGGAGCCATGGTCTGCGGCGCGATACCGCCGGCAGAGTCTCAACGGGACATCGACCGCGCCTCGCGGACGTACAAGTGCCATCGGAACATCGTTGGCACCTCGTCAGCGTTCATTGCTGCGGCTGCACGCTAATTTAATTCCATACAAAAATGCATATGCTTTTATTCATTTGAGTTTATTATTAATAGCCAATAAAATGCCGACTTAGAGCATCTCCACCCGTCCACGCTATTTGGACACGCCAACGCAATTTTTATGTTGGCGAATTCAGTGCGCCAGATTTAAATAGAGGGCTAGAATTGCGTTTTATAAGAAGCACCACCAACGGTACACGCAATTTCCGCCCACTGGATTTTCGCGCCCATGCAGAACGGCGATGCAGGCGCAAGCGCGACCGAGCCTGACCTCGTGGACTCGGACTGCAGAGATGACGAGACGGTGAAGACTATTTCACGCACGTCGTGCCATCGACGAGTGCCGCGACCAAGTGCAAGCGGTTGGCTAACAGGGACCGCAGGCGCGCGCGGTCTGCAAACGCTGGTTGAAGACTGATTGAGCTCCGCGGAGAAGGAACCAACGAACTCTGACGATCATTTTCGCTCACCTTCGGTTCAGTCAAGAAGGGAGCTTCTTGGTAGGTTTCGCCGCCTATCATGGCTCATCACTGCCCACCGTTTGTCACTCGGCGTGTGGGGTTTTGCATGCGTCGCCTCAAGGGATTAGCCCTTGGCGATGACGTTTTCCCCACACACACTAGACCAGCGAGAGCCGACTCGCACACCCACAG